GTAAATCAGTCTGAAAACAAGATCAAAAAGACTTTTTGTCTGATATAAGATTTTAAAACTTGGTAAGATGGACAGTTTTTGGAGTGCTCAAACTGTTGCTCAGAGTCTTTTTACCAGCAGCATTAGCTTGTAGAAGATTTATATTTAAATTCATTATATTGAGCTGATTMTGTTCAGATGTTACTGATACCTGAGTGCTGACCTTTCTTTTTATGTTTCCTTTAAAGGGGGCTACAACATCAACGACGTCATGTTTTATTGGACCCGAGGAAACGAGTCGGTCAGCGGTCTGGACACGCTGCAGCTGGCCCAGTACACGGTGGAGGACCACTACACGTCTGCCTCTGAGGCCGTCTATGAAACTGGTAAGGTGTTCCAGCCGGCTGGTGYCTGAGCTGAACCAGGAGCTGAGTCAGCAGGTTTCTGTCTGTCCTCCTGAAGGCCACTACCCCAGGCTGGTGTTTCACTTTGAGCTGAAGAGGAGCATCCTCTACTTCATCCTGGAGACCTACGTTCCCTCCAGCCTGCTGGTGGTCCTCTCCTGGGTTTCCTTCTGGATTTCCCTCTCCTCTGTTCCAGCTCGCATTTGTATCGGTACGATTCATTTCTTGTCATGTGCAGGTTAACAAGARTCAACCAGGGGTGGGCAGCGCTAATCCAAAAATTAGCTCCGCAATTTCTAAAGCGCTTAAAAAAATATTTAGGTCCGCAACCTCAAAACTGCTCATGCTGTAGGAAAACTAGCAGAAGCTAATTTTAAAGCGCAAGTTCAATTTGACACTCACCTGCTGACAATTCGTGTAGAATATATGTACAACACTGCCAACTAGTGGTGTGTGAACCATTTTACAGACACTTTTCAAAGCTTTATTCCTCCTTTTGTAAGATGAATTTCCAAAGTTGAGCTTTTATTCTGCTTTAATGTGGACCGATGGAAGCAAATTGTCTTCAGTCAACCTTTCACGTGAAGCTGAATTCTTCATTAAATCTTTATCTTCAACCAAACACGAAGAAAAACAGACCAGCAGAGGTCTGAGTCAGAAAACASTGCAACAATTAAAGTTTTCAGTTCTTTCTTCGTAAAGTTTCCTGATAATTCACTTTAAAACTGCAAACCTCA